CAAGAAAAATTTGAAGTAAACAACCTAATCTTACACCAAAATCAACTAGAGAAAGAAGAACAAACAAAACCCAAAGTCAGTAGAAGGAAAGAAATCATAAATATCAGAGCAGAAATAAAGGAAATAGAGACTTAAAAAAATAGAAAAGACCAATGAAATTAAAAGCTGATTCTTTGAAAAGATAAACCAAACTGATAAACCTTTAGCCAGACTCATCAACAGAAAAAAAAAAAAAAGGGAGAGGGCTCAAATCAATAAAATCAGAAATGGAAAAGGAGAAGTTACAACTGACACCACAGAAATACAAAGAGTCATAAAAGGCTACTATGAGCAACTATACACAAATGAAATGGATAACCTAGAAGAAATGGAAAAATTCTTAGAAAGGCACAATCTCCCAAGGCTGAACCAGGAAGAAATAGAAAATGATGGAGAGACAAATTATCAGTACTAAAATTGAATCAATAATTTAAAAACTCCCAACAATGTCCTGGACCAAAAGGCTTCACAGGTGAGTCTACCAAACATTTAGAGAAGAGTTAACACCTGTCCTTCTGAAACTTTCCCAAAAAAATTGCAGAGGAAGGAACACTCCCAAACTCATTCTGTAAGGCCACCATCATCCTGATACCAAAACCAGGCAAAGATATCACAAAAAAGAAAATTACAGACCAACATCATTTATGAATATAGATGCAAAAATCCTCAACAAAATCCTAGCAAGCTGACTCTAACACTGTATTAGAAGGATCATACACCATGATCAAATGGGATTTATCCCAGGGATGCGAGGGTTTTTCAATATCCATAAATCAATATGATACACCACATTAATTGAAAGAATAAAAACCATATGATGATCCCAATAGATGCAGAGAAAGCTTTTGATAAAATTCAACAGTCATTTATGATAAAAACTCTTGAGAAAGTGGGCAAAAAGGAACATACCTCAACATAATATAGGCCAAAGATGACAAATCACAGCTAACATCATACTCAATGGTGAAAAGCTGAAAGCGTTTTCTCTAAGATCAGGAACAAGGATGCCCACTCTAACCACATAGTTTGTGAAGTCCTAGCCATAGCAATCAGAAAAGAAAAGGAAATAAAAGGGATCCAAACTGGAAAAGAAGTGATACAACTGTCATGGTTTACAGATGGCATGATACTATACAGAGAAAATCCTAAAGATTTTACCAGAAAACTACTAAAGCTCGTCAATGATTCTGGTAAAGTGGCAGGATACAAAATTGATATACAGAAATCTGTTACATTTCTATTCACTAATAATGAAATAGCAGAAAAAGAAATTAAGGAAACAATCCCATTTACCATTGCACCAAAAAGAATAAAATACCTAAGAATAAAGTTATCTAGGGAGGCAAATGAATTGTACTTGAAAAAGTATAAGGCACTGATGAAAGAAAGTGAAGACAACACAAACAGATATATCATATTCTTGGATTGTAAGAATCATTACTGTGTAAATGGCCATACTATCCAAGGCGATATACAGATTCAATGCAATCCCTATCAATTACTGATGGTTTTTCATAGAACGGGAATGAAACATTTTAAAAATTTTGTATGGAAACATAAAAGACCCCCAAATAGTCAAAACAATCTTGAGAAAGAAGAACAGAGCTGGGGAATCACACTCCCTGACTTTAGACTATCCTACAAAGCTACAGTAATCAAAACGGTATGGTACTGGCACAAAAACACACACACAGATCAACACAACAGTATAGAAAGTCCAGAACCAAACCCATGCACTTATAGTCAATTAATGCACAACAAAGGAGGTAAGACTATGCAATGGTGAAAAGACAGTCTCTTTACTAAGTGGTGCTGGGAAAACCAGACAGCTACTTGTAAAAGAATGAAATTAGAACATTCTCTAACACCATATACAAAACTAAACTCAAAATGGATTAAAGACCTAACTGTAAGATCAGATAGTATGACACTCCTACAGGAAGACATAGGAAGAACACTCTGACATAAATTGCAGCAATATATTTTTAAATCTGTCTCTCAGAGTATGGAAATGAAAGCGAAATTAAGCAAATGGGACCTAATTAAACTTAAAAGCTTCTGTGCTGCAAAGGAAACCATAGACAAAATGAAAAGACAAAGTATGGACTGGGAGAAAATATTTGCAAGCAATGAGACCAACAAGAGATTAATTTTCAAAATATACAAGCAGCTCACATACCTCAATATCAAAACAACAAACAATCCAATCAAAAAATGGGTAGAAGACCTAAATAGACATTTCTCCAAAGAAGACATAAAGATGGTCAACAGGCACATGAAAAGATGCTCAATATTGCTAATTATCAGAGAAACTACAACGAGGTATCACCTCACACCAGTTAGAATGGCCACCATGAAAGTCTACAAATGATAAATGCTGGAGAGGGTGTGGAGAAAAAGGTACCCTCCCACACTGTTGGTGGGAATGTAGTTTGGTGCAGCCATTAGGGAATACAGTATGGAGAGTCCCTAAAAACTAAAAGTAGAGTTACTATATGATCCACCCAGTACTAGGCATCTATCCAGAAAAAACTCTAACTCAAAAAGATACTTGGACCCCAGTGTTCATAGCAGCACTATTTACAATAGTCAATACATGGAAGCCACTTAAATGTTCATTGGCAGATGACTGGATAAAGAGGATGTGGTGTATTTATACAATGGAATACTACTCAGCCATAAAAAAGAATGAAATGATGCCATTTGCATTATTCATATACATGGATGGACCTGGAGATTATCATACTGAGTGAAGTAAATCAGATAGAGAAAAACAAATATTATATGATATCACTTATATGTGGAATTAAAAAAAAAGATACAAATGAACCTATTTACAAACCAGAAATAGGCTCACAGACATAGAAAACAAATTATGATTACCAAAGAGGAAATTGGTGGGAGGGAGGGATAAATTAGGAGCTTGGGATTAACATATATACACTCCTATCTATAAAATAGGTAAACAACAGAAACCTACTGTACAGCACAGGGAACTATATTCAACAGCTTATAATAACCTACACTGCAAAAGAATCTGAAAAAGTATACATATGTATATGTATATTTATAGCTGATCACTTTGCTATACACCTGAAACTAACAACATTGTAAATCAATTATACTTCAACTTTTTAAAAAAGAATTTTTTTCCCTGACAGACTAAGTTTGAGGTGTCAGGACAATGAGGCAGTGCTGCCCACCAGGCAGTTGGAAAGATGCAACTAAAGGTAAGAACTGTCAGGGCTGGAAATAAGGACCTGGGAGCTGTGGCCCCTATTCCTCCTTCCTTCTGAATAGAATCCCACCTGTGTTTGGGTTGCCAGGGCCCCAATGGAGAGTTGGGTTGCCAATAAACCATGATTGGCCTGAGTCCAAATGTGGTACCTTGCTTTCCTTTGATTGGTCCAGGGGTGAGCATGTGATCTGATTCTGGCCAATGAGATTCCAGGGCTCCTGGAAAGGATTCTCTTCCTGACAAAAGAGACCTCCAGGCTTTGCTTTCAACTCCATCCTTCCTGCTTGTGACCTGTCAGGAGAGAACGGGGTTGCTGGAGCAGCATCTTGAGGGCTGTGGCTGACACACTGACAGTGACACAGGAGAAAGATGATAAGAACTTTGGTCATTGGTGCCCTCGATGATCTGCTGAACATCTGGATTTGCCTATCTCCGGACTTCTTGTGACACAAAAGTTTATTAAATGTCTGTTATTTAAGTCACTATTCGTTGGAATTCTATTATTTTCACCTGAAGCTACCTCAACTGAAATGGATGTAATGCCTGTGAGAGTGGATTGACTTCTGAGGAGACAGCATGAAAAAGACAAATCCTGGGGAGAGATACTCATGTTTCAGAGGTGGAGGCTTTTCATTAATTAAACTTTACAGTTTCCTATAAAAAAAAAAGCTACGTAAAAAACTTGTTTTAATCATGAAAAATACCCTCCCCCACACACCTACAACCTCCCTCTTGCAAACCATACTTTCCATCGAGCATATGCTTCAAAAGAAAGGTGAGAAAGGAGACAGGTTTCAGAGAGGAGCTCTAGGGAGGTGATGGTCCCTCTAACATGATTTGCTTCCTGTTGCTGAAACAGAGTCCCTGGGAGTGAGATTGTTTGCTCAGCAAGGTGGCTCATCCCTCTTTCTCCCTGGATGAATTTGAGAGTGGGAGGCCTCAGTCCTGGGATGGGTGGAGGAGCTCTGTTTACTCCCAGGGAGAGTGGCCAGCCACCTGAGAGGCCACAGGCTGGAGCGAGGGCTGACTCTCCGGGTAGCGAGAAAACAACCTGGATCTTCGACCGGGGTGAGCAGTGTCCGATTCCACCTGGGGGAGGAGGGGAGGTTATGACAGAGAAAGCTGTATCTATTCCACTAAGCAATTAAGGCCATTATTTTTCTTGAAAAAGCATTCTCTTAAGCCATCGAGGATAATTTAGCCCCATCTTGACAGAACGGACTAATGGCTACTAATGGAGACATTCTTTCAATAAATGAAGAGGCACGAGAAAATTGCCAGATATTAAACACAGCCCCACGTGTCTTATCTGGGTCTATAATGGCCCTATCAAATGACCCAAGTGAAGGAAATGTGATCCTTCATGGGTTAACGGAGTCTCTTTCTTCAGTGCTATATAAATTCACTATTGGGAAAACAGCAATTCATTGGTCCATCCTAGGAAATGTTAAAAAGTGGGGCCGTATCTCAAGTTAAAGGATGCATTTCCTTTTGGTAGGCAGAAAATATGAAATAGAACCCCTGTGCACTGAGGATTTGTATAAATAGCCTTCTGAGCAACAGAGCCCAGAGTTCTGTTTGGGTCTCTGCTCCTTGGAATTTTCAGCCAAGAAGTCAAAGAGTCTGTGTAATATGTTGTTAATCTTGTTGTTTTTTCCCCCCAGTACCATGCAGGGTGTTTTTTGTTGGTTGGTTGGTTTGGTAATTTTAAAGTCTATTCTTGGAAATGTTTCTTGGGATTCAAGTAATTCCTAGTACTCAATCTTGGGGGACACATCTTAAAATTTATACAGAATTCCAACAAATCAATAAGAAGAAGACAACCCCAAAGAAAAATGGGCAAAAGAAATGTACTTAAGAAGACATGGCCAACAATCATATAAAAAGATGAACAAGCTGTATTGTCGTCTTCCGCAACTTGCTGTTTTCAATACAATGTCTACGGCTCTAAGCCCCATCCTTCCACGGTACTGTGTGTGGCAATGCTCATTTTCATGGCTGGAATAATATTTCACTGGGTGAGTATTCCACAACACCATTCTCCCTACAATACATAGAGCATGACTTTCTATTTATAAAGCTCAAGAAGATAAAAGAGATTACAAAAAAATACACATCTGATAGCACTACTGAAAACAAAGTCATGATAAAAACAAGGTCTTCCCTTGGAAGAGGGGGAGGTTGACATTGGGGATGAAACAGGAGACATCAGTTACCTATGGCTGCATAACCCACCACTGTGAAACTTAG